TGGGGACAGCTGTCACCGGCAGCAAGAGAGGACACAGTTAACAAAAGACCGCTATCAGTTTCTGGTAAATGCCTCTAATCTTTGTAACAACAACACAACAAAAAGAATAAAGAAAAAGAAAGGATGATAAAGAAAGAGGTGAATGATATCATCTCTTTGGATTCTCCAAATCAACATAAAGTCCTGTGAATTTCCCCCTGGTTTTACTGTAACTGGCACTGACACCCAAGAACTAGCTCTTTGCTAACTGTGTGTCAGAAACCAGCATTTCCCCCTCCGAAATCAGAAGTGAAGACAAATGCCAGACGTTGGGGACAGCTGTCACCCGGGCAGCAAAGAGAGGGACACAGTTAACAAAAGACCGCTATCAGTTTCTGGTAAATGCTTCTAATCTTTGTTAACAACAACGACAACAAAAAAGAATAAAGAAAAAGAAAGGGATGATAAAGAAAGAGGTGAATGATATCATCTCTTTGGATTCTCCAAATCAACATAAAGTCCTGTGAATTTCCCCCTGGTTTTACTGTAACTGGCACTGACACCCAAGAACTAGCTCTTTGCTAACTGTGTGTCAGAAACCAGCATTTCCCCCTCCGAAATCAGAAGTGAAGACAAATGCCAGACGTTGAAGGCACAGGTGATGAGCATCACGTGGGGTTGTTACTGTGTCGTTGTGGTGCCCGGAACAGAAATGATACGTCGGGAAAATAAAATCCAGAAGCAGTTAAAGTGAATGTGCTGGTGGGAGTTAGTGTTAAAATAGACAATTGCTATAGATATTAAAAATAATTCCTTCAAAGGAGGACAATGCCACAGCGTAGTGTTCCTGTCGGCAGCCGGGACCCGGCCCAGACTCTCTCGGGGAGACCCGAGCTGCGTTCGTTGCTCTCCTTCCCACAATCGGCGTCTTGCAGGATATTAACCGTCCATGTCATTTTCTGATTTATATTTCAATGAAATCAGGAAGCAATTGTTAACCACTTGGGTACCAGCGTTGACTGTAGCCGACAGCCGTGATGTGACTTTTCTAATTTTTCATGTATCAAAATAAAATTGTGAACGTTTAAAAATAACGTCATGAAAACATACGTGTCTGTGTTACCTGTTCTGATTTGCATGACAAGGAAAGCTGCCTGCAAAGTCAAACAAGCTTCCAGGCTTTCCTTGTCACACAAGAGCAGAACGGACGCGCCGTCCATGCACAGCGCAGACCGCTGTGCGGACCGTGAGCGCCGGCTGTGGGCGAGGGGTCGCGGCCGGTGAGCGCGGTCCCAAGTGGTTAAAAAACGCCACCAGAGAGGACATTTAGACGGTGAAGGCTCTGTGTCCGTGTGTTAATGCGGGTGCCCGGCCGGGGGCTAACGGTCTTCTCTTGCCTGGGCTGTCCTCGAGGGCGAGGCTCAGTTCTGACTGTGGTTTTTTTTGTTGTTGTTGTTGTTTTCTCTAAGCAGTTTAAGTTCTGGGCCTGGGACCCGGAAGAGGAGCGCAGGAGGCAGGAGAAGTGGCAGCAGGAGCAGGAGCGCTTGCTCCAGGTGAGGTTCGCTCCCCACCCCTTTCTTTTAGGTGATGCTCTCTGAATTTCCGTTGCATTCAACAGAGTCAATAGATTTTTTTATGTGATCATCTCAATTTTAATAGCTTTATAATCAGGCATTCCATCTCAATCTTTGCCTTTTATCTTAAGGACTGTTTATAATGATTAACTCATAGTAAATTATTAACAAATACTTAAAACGATATAATGTGAGTGTTGGGAAACAATCTGAACCACTTCAGTACAGCGCTCACTGGCTGCGACCCCTCGCCCACGGCCGGCACTCGCGGTCCCCACGGCGGTCTGTGCTGTGCATGGACGGCGCGTCCGTCTGGCTCTTGTGTGACGAGGAAAGCTTGGAAGCACCGAGAGCTTGTTTGATTTCAGAGGCAGCTTTCCTTGTCATGTCAGTATCAGAACAGGTGACGTAGACATGTATGTTTTCATGACGTTATTGTTAAATGTTCACGATTTTATTTTGATAAATGAAAAATTAGAAAAGTCATATGACGGCTGTTGGCCAAAGTCGACGATCGGCTGTGCGCGTTCACCTGTGGCTGTCGGCTACAGTCGACGCTCGTACCGAAGTGGTTAAGGATCATCCAGTAATAACCCACTTATTTACAGATTGTAAAAAATGAGAGAGAGAGAGAGAAAGAGAGAGACAAGAGAGAGTCATTTTCTAAAGGCAAAGAGATTTTCAAGTAAAATACTAGGTCAGTTATTTAATGCTCTTGACTGCATAGAACACAGAAGCCGGGCGGAATCAGGCTCTTCTCAGAAGTTGGGGAGTCGGAGCCAGCCCACATAGCATAGCGCCTTGTCCCCCGTTCTTCCTGCCCAAGGCCACAAGGACGGCTGTGCGGAAAAGACGTTCGTATTGACAGTTTGAAAAGATTCGAAGCTTCAGTGAAGGGCCAGTTCCTCCCTTTGTCACCTCCTTCGTGGCCTGGTCACTCTCCAGCCCAAGCAGCAGGGGTGGATTGTCGGAGAGAAATCCGATAGCTACGTGGGAAATAGAACTTAGCCTCCGTCTAACTCCTTGAGTAGAAATGTTTGCTCCATTTGTTTTTGTTTTGTTTTTTTAGCAAAAGCGGCTAATTATCAATTCTAGAAAAGTTCTGGTAGTGAATTTACCGGACTCCTACTTGCCTCATGCCAGTCTTAACGGATTAGCAGAGTTTCCGAAGGCAACCCCAGCGACCCAAGAAGCTAACCCGGCTGAGTGCCTGGCATGAGCCGGGAGCCGAGGTCGGTGCTGGGCGTACTTTACCTCGTTCAGTCCCCAGACTGCCCTTCAAGGGATGTCTCATTCGCCCCAGTCGCAGTGGAAGGTCTGAGGCTCGCGGAGGTCAAATCCTTTGCCCGGGGCGGCACGGCTGACAGGTGCTGAGCCCAGGCTCAAATCCAAGTCTGCGGGGCTCCAGCACGCAGGCTCTTGCCTTCTCAGTAGTGCCGATTCCCAAGACAGCCGTAAAGGAACGCAATGCTAAATCCCATTAATTTTGATGATCTCTCTGCTGCCGTGTAGAAAACAATGCTTACTGCAAGCTTGTTTTAGTTTTTCTGTTTTTCCTTTTTTTTTTTTTAATCCTTTTGGCTTAATTCCCAGGGGTCGGGTGATTATATAGTAGATTATTTAGTAGAAGGAGGTGATGGTGTGGCCTTATCTCTGCCGGCTAAATTTGGCCGTCTTGAAAACTGCAGAGGCTTAGACCGCGAATGCCAAGACGTTAGGAGGAACTGGACTCGTGGAAGTCCCAGGCTGTGGGACTTGGGTCTGTTGGGAAGCCTCAGGGCAGCCTGGCCCTCTGCTGTTCTCTTGGAGATCAGCTGCACCCCCCACACACACACCCCCCAGCTAAACGGGGAGCAGCCGAGAGCCGGAAGTCCCACGGGCAGGAGAAGACGGCAGACACGCTCCCCACCCCAGCGCTCCGTCCCTCCCACGCCGGGGAGTGGCCGCGGCTAGGATGCGGGCACCAGGCGTGTGTCTCACTCCTGTTTCCCGGCGTGGCGGCGTGGCGTGGGCCGCGGTGTCGGCAGGTGGAGCAGGGCACGCGTGTGGTGCGTGTGGCAGACCTGCTGCGTCTTGCACCCCCAGCGCCTCCTCTCGGTGGGGCTCCCCGAACCACGGAGCCTCAGAGGCTTGCTTGGTCTTGGGCTTTTCGTAGTTCCGGGGTCTGCTCCCTCTATGCGGCAGAGCCCCCCGCAGTCCTTCCCTGAAACCCCGTGACACTCAGTTCTGGTAACAGACTCGCGGCCGGCGTGGAAGGGCCCGCCACGGGCCGGCCCACGGGGAGCTGGCCGGAGAGTCGGGAAGAGCACAGGCCCCAGGCAGTTCCAGTAAGGCCCTCTGGCTCCTGAGATAATGGCGCAGCGGCCAGGGAAAGCTCGGTGCCTTCCCCCGTGAAGACAGAACCGCAGGCTCCTCTCGGCCTCGGGGAGGGGGTCGACAGTAAGGGGCCTGGAACACCCGCATGTGCGTGGCGCAGGCCACGGCCCCTTTGTCACGTCTCGGCCGAGAGCAGAGGGTCGACAGCAACGGGCCTGGAACA